TAAGGGCAGACTGTTTAATTTCGAAAACAATTTCGAATGGATGCCATTATACAGGGTGTCCCACCGGGAACCAAATCGATCTATACATGAAAAACTGTATGCAGAAAATTTTTGAAAATTTGATAGTATGTACTAATGTCAGTGGGGGCAACAACAAATGAAACACCCTAGATGTGATTACATATTTGGATTCTACGTAAAATTCTGAGCAGATGTCATGTGATATATCCTGTACCTAGTTCAACTGTTTTGGAAATATTGACAGTTGAAATTTGACTTTTTGCAACTTTGACAGGCTGTAAAACCTAAACGGGTAATTTTAGACGAAAACCGATTTTACATTCCTATCTTAGATTTTCATAATCATTTGGCACCAACTTTGAATTCAACCGGATATGAATGAATGAACATGGATTAAATCCAAAGTTGGTGTCAAATGATAGTTTATAAAAATCTAAGCTGGGAATGCGAAATCGGGTTTCTTCTGAAATTAACCGTTCAGGTTTTACAGCGTGTCAAAGTTGCAAAAAGTCAATTTTCAACTATCAATATTCCCAAAACAGTTGAACAGGGTATATCACATGAAATCTACTCTGAATTTCACGTACAATCCAAATATGCAATCACATAAAGTCTGTGGCATGGTTCTTTAGCTACGACTACTGAATAGACATAGGGAACAATGGGCTATTGCTGCGTTGTCATATCAATAATATTTATTATTACATGAAAATGGAGGAAATTTTATTGTAAATTTCATGTATTAATAAATATATTGATATGACAACGCAGCAATAGCCCATTGTCCCCTCTGTCTATTCAGAAGTCGTAGTTCAAGAACCATGCCACGGACTTTACAGGGTATCCCATTTAAAACAAGCAAGTTTACGCCTGCTTCCGGTATAACCGGAAGTCCCAGTGAAAATATTTTACCCGGGTTACTCCCATTGACCATTGACATTAGTAAAAAAAAAAAATTCTGCAGACAGTTTTTCATGTATAGATCGATTTGGCTCCCGGTGGAACATCCTGTATAGGTTTAGTTATTTTATTTTTGCACTGGAAGAGTCCGATGTGCATAAAACGTAATAAGTATTTTGGGCGTTAAGTGTCGTTAACCACCCTCGAATATTCCGGTAAGGGCCGGTTCGACAATGCCAGTATAAAACTCAGTATTGTAATACTCCGAATATCTTATACCTTGATTTATCCCGAGTATATCTGACCGCCGGTTCGACAATGGTTTTGCAAGAGCCGTATAGTTATTCCGAGATTATCCGAGAAATATGAAGTTAGTGGCTCGAGTTAACCATTTTTTTGACAGATGCCGGTAAAACAGCAAGGGTTTAAGAAATGAGTTGTGAACTGAACACAACTTTTTTTGTTTTTGTTTAAAATAATTTCATTAATTTGTGTTTGCAGTATAGAAAAACATCATTTTTATTTTGGAATTTTGTATAATTTGTATTCGTATTATGCTAATTTTAGGTATTCAATTGTAAACCCAAGTACAGCTCAGGTAATCAGGCCCTACCCCGACCAATAGAAAGACAGTATAACTTTATTCCGAGTATATACGGTCGAGGACGGCCGGATAACTTATACCCTAATTTATTCTCCGAATATCGTTATACGGCAATTGTCGAACCGGCCCTTAAATGACACTTACCGCCCTTATTACTTGAATAACTAATCAGATCACTTGAAATAAAGAACTTTATTATTTAATAAAAGATTTTTTAAGTAAATTTTAATACTTATATATTTCAACAATTTTTTGTTAAACTTTTAACATGTTTCGCTAAACTTTAGCTTCATCAGAAAGATTTTAGAAAAATAAAATGTAGACATAAAAGTGAAATTGACAAATATAAAAAAGGTAAAAGCTGGTCTAATTTTATGTTAATTTAAATAGGTGTATTACACAGTAAATAAATTTAAAAGTGGTGAATTGTTTAAATCTAATTGGTCGTTCAATAAACAGTCTAAATTTTTAAGTTTGTTTATTTCTAAAGATTCTAGAAGATTTAATTTTATCCCTTTGTTTTCATTATGTAGTATTTGAAATTCATTATTAAAATTATGATTTGATTCTATCAGGTGATTAGCATAATTTGAATCTGTTTTCTTTTTATTGAAACTATTGTAATGTTCTTTAATTCTAGTACCAAAATTTCTACCTGTTTGTCCTATATATACTTTTGGACAATCTTTACAAGATAATTTATAAACGCCAGATTTATCACAAATTTTAGTTTTAGATTTATTATTTTTCAAGTGAAAGCCTATTGTATTGTTAGTTTTGAAAGCAACATTTATATCGTTTTTGTTAAGAAATTTGCTAATTTTCTTACTAGCTTGTCCTTGGAAAGTAATACTTTTGAAATTATTATTATTTTGTAATTTTTTAGGGTATACTAAATTAATGGCATTTTTGTATAGTTTTTTGTTTAAAATATCATCTATTAATTTAGAAGAATAGCCATTATTGATAGCAATTTGTTTAATTAGGTTTAATTCTTTTTGGAAATTAATACTATTTATAGGAAGTGTTATTAATCGGTGTATCATACTGTTAAAAGCAGCTAATTTGTGTTGGATAGGATGACAAGATGTATTGTGTACCTATAACTGTATCAGTATGAGTAGGTTTATGAAATATGGAAAATTCATGTTTTTCATTTATGTTTTTGATTGTTAGATCTAGGAAATTTATTGAATTATTTAGTTCTTTTTCTATGGTAAATTTTATGTTAGGGTGGATTTTATTAATAAAGTCTATAAAAATATCTAATTGTCTGTCTGTTCCAGTAAAACAAGTTAGAACATCGTCAACATATCTATGCCAGTAGAGGAATTTTTTAAAAATTGGATGTTTGTTAATTTTTGATTCAATAAAATCCATGAATATTTCAGATAAAATAGGACTTAGTGGATTTCCCATTATAAGTCCAATTTTGCTAGTATATATTTTATTATCAAATTCAAAATAATTTTGTCTGAGGCATTCTTTCAAAACGATAATAATTTCTTCTTTTTTAACAATGTTTATATTATTTTTAATCAAGAGTTTTTCAACAAGAATAATAACGTCTTCAATAGGTATACTTGGAAAAAGATTGGTAACATCAAATGAAATAAATTTAGAGTTTTTTGGTAATGTAATATGTTTAATTTTGTCTACTAATTCATAAGTGTTTTTTATAGAGTATTTAGCAGAAAATAGAGTATGATTCAAAATAATATTAATTAAGGTTTTAGAAATTTTATAAGAAGGGGCTGAAAAGAAAGAAACAACAGGTCTGATAGGGTTACCTATTTTATGAAGTTTTATTAATGAATAAAGTTTTGGAGCTTGAGGGTTCATAAGTAATAATCTCCATTTGTCTTTATCTATAAACAAACTTTTACAATTTTGTATTATTGATTTTATTGAATTTTGAAAACTATTAGTAGGATCTGTATTTGATAAAGTATAATTTACAGGTTTTAAAAAGTCTATAGTTTTTTGTATATAATCAGTTTTACTTATAGCTATAACAGTATTTCCTTTATCTGCTTTTGTAAAAGTAATGTCTTTCGATTTTGATTTAATGTGTTGTATTACAGAAAATTCTAGTTTTTGTTTATTATCATTTAAAGATTCATTTTTTATGAGATTCGAAGAAAGGTGTTTTAGGTTTAAATTATTTGAGTTATCTTTAAGTGCTATTTCAGTTTCAACTCCTAAAATCTCCAAAGACGTTTTTATGTTATTATTGTTTAAATTATATTTGAAACCTTTTTCTAACAAGTTAGTTTCTTCACCTAATTAAACAAATTGCTATCAATAATGGCTATTCTTCTAAATTAATAGATGATATTTTAAACAAAAAACTATACAAAAATGCCATTAATTTAGTATACCCTAAAAAATTACAAAATAATAATAATTTCAAAAGTATTACTTTCCAAGGACAAGCTAGTAAGAAAATTAGCAAATTTCTTAACAAAAACGATATAAATGTTGCTTTCAAAACTAACAATACAATAGGCTTTCACTTGAAAAATAATAAATCTAAAACTAAAATTTGTGATAAATCTGGCGTTTATAAATTATCTTGTAAAGATTGTCCAAAAGTATATATAGGACAAACAGGTAGAAATTTTGGTACTAGAATTAAAGAACATTACAATAGTTTCAATAAAAAGAAAACAGATTCAAATTATGCTAATCACCTGATAGAATCAAATCATAATTTTAATAATGAATTTCAAATACTACATAATGAAAACAAAGGGATAAAATTAAATCTTCTAGAATCTTTAGAAATAAACAAACTTAAAAATTTAGACTGTTTATTGAACGACCAATTAGATTTAAACAATTCACCACTTTTAAATTTATTTACTGTGTAATACACCTATTTAAATTAACATAAAATTAGACCAGCTTTTACCTTTTTTATATTTGTCAATTTCACTTTTATGTCTACATTTTATTTTTCTAAAATCTTTCTGATGAAGCTAAAGTTTAGCGAAACATGTTAAAAGTTTAACAAAAAATTGTGGAAATATATAAGTATTAAAATTTACTTAAAAAATCTTTTATTAGATAATGGATTTCCACCAAGTAAAAGCCGATTCAATCAAAAACTTTATTATTATTATTATTATTATTATTAATATTATTATTATTATTATTCGAGACTTTGTCAACAGATACAGTTTGGTCATAGTCGGTGGGATGCCAAGTAAAGAAAACTTATTATTATTGTTGTTGCCTGATACTCTCTCAAATGCATCGCGTCTCCCTTTTGTTCCAAGCGCTAAAATTCACAGAAATCAACCCTATTTCAAATTTGTTGCGTGTGGAACTCACTACTTGGTTTAATTAGGTATATCTTGGTAATACATTTTAATTGATCTCTATTTCTAGTTCTAATTTAGCTACAGCTACATATACTATTCTGGTTAACTGGTTAAAAATAGATAATATTATTATCTTCCAATAATTTCAGGTGCATATCAAGCATTAAAGATATGCAGCAAGGGGCAAGAGGTGTTTCCACTGCTCCATTCAGAGATTCTAAATTGACCATACTATTTCAAAAAGCCTTACAAGGCAAAGAAGATATTTCCATGATTGTAAGTTTTTTTTTTGTGGTTTGTTCTTGATCTTGATTTTAATAATTTCATTTAGGTGAACATTAATGCTTCTCCTGATATGTATGATGATACCCAACACGTTTTAATGTTCTCTGCTGTTGCTCAAGAAATTACAACTAGAGTTGAGCCAAAAATTTTAAAACGCAGCAGATATTCTGCATACAATAAGAATTTATTGAATTATGTAATAGAAGAAAAGGAAAATGACGAAAGGTGAGCGTGGTTTATTGGCCAAATTAATTTTAATTTTGGATTCATTATTTTTGAATTTAGAAATGAAGAAATAACAAAACTAAGAAATGAGAAAGCTGATTTGGTTTTGGAACTTACCAAACAAAAAGAACTTTTTGATAAGGAGATGGAAGAAGAGAGAAATTATGTGATTGAAGTAAGTGAACTTTGTATTAAAATCACAAACTAGTCATAGTTGAAGTACCTACCTAAAATTTACCTTTTTTTTTTCAGAACCATGAGAAAAGATTTAATATTCTCTCGAAACAAGTGACTGCGTTGAAACAAGAAAATAAGCAATTGGAAAAATCGAAAGTTCTATTAGAAAGGCAAGTTAGACAGTTGAAAATGGAATTAATTGAAAAAGAACAAGTAATAACGTTCTCAAGTAATAAAGATTCTGGTAATGAAGGTGGAGAGACAGAAAATAAAGACTTGGAATACAAAATAGCCGCGTATCAATTGGAAGTAGAAGGGCTTAAAGACAAAAACCAGAAACTTAAAGAAGACGTCAAGGAACTCGTGGCAAAATATCTGGAACAAGAAAGAATTTATCAAGAACAGGGGTAGGTATTCGAATTATTATTGTATCAAACAATTATTAGATATTACAATTTTTTTAGTGAAGAAATTCAAGAATTAAGAGACACCTTATCTGATTCAAAAATGGATTTCGAGTCACTATCAAATGAACTAGAAAGGCACAAAAAAAGCGTGCAAGAATTAACTAGCGAGATTGTTGAGTTATCAGATAAACGAGCATTTGATGAACAAGAGCTAGAGGATTTAAGACAGCAAAATTATCAACTTAGACAAGAAATTGAAAATATGGAAGCTGTAAATGAAGTCACACAACCTCTTGGACTAGAGGATGACAAAGAGTAAGTTGATATTTTATTTTGTTATTCAGCTGTATGTCAGGGATTGATGCATTAAGACGAATAATGAATGAACAGAAAAAGAATCGTTCCCTTAAAATTTCGTCATTTCTTTGTACTTGACACACTTCTAGTGGAAAAGCTATATCAGGGCGATAAAATAAAATTGTATTTTTTTGTGTTAAAGCCACCAAAGAAGAAAACTCAACAAAAGTTCCCAACATTTCTCCAAAAATTGCCAGTTTTGAAAATTATTGGTGCATATAACCTTCTGGTACGCATAATACCTCTTGTTGCATCAATCCCTATTAGTTTGTAGAATGCAGCATCCAATATTTATTTATTTTTTTGAGAATTTTTTTATCATGATCAGTTCCTTTTTAAGGAATGCGCCTCCCCTAACTTGTCGATAGTGCCTGGTGCAGCTGATGCAGAATGTTTTCCCTTGGAACTACCCGAACTGTTACGTCTTACTTCCTTAAATTAAGTTTTTCATTTTGTGATGTACATAATAATAAATAATAATAATAAACAATTTTTTATTTCAAAACTAGCTAATGACCCGCTGCTTTGCCAGTGTGAAAATACATTTTGAAGTAATACACTTTTTTTCAAATTTTGTTGATTTTCTATTTAATTTTTTTTTAATCCGATACCAGAGTCGCTTGCCAGTGACGCATTTTAAGCACTCCAGAGCTGTTCTAGAGCGCCCCGGGCTGTTTATAGGCGTTCCAGTGTATGAGAGTTTCGCGCAACCAAATTTTTTTTTCGGGATAAAAAATAGCCTATAGCACTCCCCTCTTTAGCCGAATTCGATTGACCGGATTAGATCGATCAGTGTTCAATTTAAGTGAACCACACTGTGTTCGATTGAGGCTGGATCAGTGCACCCCAATGAACTAAACAAACACACTGGAACGGTTGCTGGATAATGTTCAACGCAAGGGCTTGTGCCAGAGGGGGCTAATTTTTGACCATTCGTAACTATAGAAAGTCGAGTAGAAAGTCTACGTAAATGTACGAAGATTATGAAATCCCATTTCTGAGTATTCGCATCTTTGCGTATGCGCACATTTTTATACGTTTTTCTGCGAGCGGCGACTCGCCGATGTGTTGCCTATGCGCTGACGTACCTGCATTTGTGGTTGTGTCGACCTTTATTATTTTATTTCGTCTGTCTATTCGTTCAGTATTTGTGTGCGAACTTTGTGGCACTTGTGGGTTCTTGTCGTGATAAATATAAATTATTGAAAATGGAAAAACTAATAAATATGTTCGCAATACGAAATATAGAAATTGCAGTCTGCAGACCAAGAAAATCGACCAAACAACCAGCATTGCCATCGAGATCCCTTCATAGAGCTTAACCATCAACAATTTATTAAGTTGTTTCGATTAACAAAAGATCTTGTTTTACATTTGATCGAATGTTTGGGAACCTTACATCCGTCCGGCACTCGGCACTGCGAATTACAGACTTCATTTTATAACTTTGCGTTTGTTTACCGCTAATTAGTTGCATTTTCCTTTTCACGTAGTCCATGAGCAATTTTTTCTGCTTATCTCATGCATTTGCACTCCGTTTCTTCTTGTTTTACGAAATTTTTTTCATAAAGTAAAAAAATTGTCAAAGGTCGACAGTTTACACAACCTATTTTTTTCCCTCATTAGTACAAAAATCTCTCAATTTGCAGTGTTGCCTGATCAACCTTGCGTATTGATGCGAATGCAAAACTCAGACGTTTTTTGATTTGCGCACGTCATCCAAAAATTGGTACAAAAAAAAGTGAACGTTTCATATCCTGCGCATCTTTGAGAATACGCAAATAAACGTGCATTCCCAAAAATTGGCCAAAAAAAGGTTAGGAAGATGAAGAAGCTCTTCTTTCTTTTACGTTAATCGTAATGAGTGCGAGCGAGACAACAATCCCACTGTATTGCTAGGTTGCATATATCGAAATTCGGCACACTAGCATAAAGCAGTGCGCCCGTTCCAGAGTGTTTATTTAGTTCAATGGTGCACCCTCATCAACAAAAAAATGATCTAGATCAGAAGAAGTTCACTTAAATTGAACCCAAATCGATCTAATCTGGGTCAATCAAATTCAGCTTATATAGAGATACGTGGTAATAAATTCAAGATAGGTCCAGCCGTTCTCGAATTCAAAAAATAATAAAGTTACGTCGGTTGAATGACAAGCCTAAATAAATGAAATATGGCAACGTTGTTTCATGCTGTCAAAAAAGTTGAGTTATGTTGTTATGTAATGTGAATGAGTTTGTTTACAATTAAATTAATGATTAATTCAAAATTAATTTCTTTTTCCGAGATGCGTAACCTATCCACAATTCTTCCTTGGGATGGCCATAACAATCTACCAAAGTTTCATCGTAATCGGATAAGTGGTGTAGGAGCGCACAGCCGGATACCTAGCAAACATTGATTTTTATATACAGGGTGTCCGTTTTAAGTGATACCACTATTGCTATCTCGGAAACGGTAAGAGATACGAGGTCGGTTAAATTAGAAAAAAGTTGCCTTTTTTGATGCCCATCCAAAACTCGTTTACAGTGTTGCCGAATTCCTTTTAGTTTAGGAAATACAGGGTGATTTCTAAGAAACGCCTAAAACTATTTCATCGATTATTTTAAAAACTATTGATTTTCGGGACACAATTTAAATTTGAAAGGTTTATAATTTTTATCGCTTTACAACATGGCATCTTCAAATTTCAAATCCGACGTTTTGTGATCAAGCTACCATCATCAACTTCATTTTTTCAAATACAGACCTGGATTTTTTATGTCATTTTTATAAAGCTCCCTTTATTTCATTTTTAACGATATACCTCTTAAGTATGATTAGCCGACGTTTCTGCTTTTAAAGGTGATCATCAGTCATTTTTACCAAAATTTTACCTCAATTCGGCCCTGCAATTCGTTATTTGTAACAGAGGCGGTCTAACAAGTACTATCTTCCTTTTATTTAGAACACTTAGAATTATCTAATTATGAATAATATCGAGAATAATGACTTAGAATTTAATTATTATTGTAAATATGTACTCAAATTGAAGTCGATTATTCCTTAAGCATCATCTGCAATTTTTCACAATTTTTTTTTGAATATTTAATATGTATTGTTTTTCTTGCATCCGTCCGCGAAATACAATTTCGCGGCCGCCACACCTTACGTGGTGTGTATACCATGACCGCGAAACTTTGCAGCATTCTCGAGACTATCTTGCCTCGGCCGCAAGCAACCAAGGCATTTCGCGACCTTGGTATACAAATACAGATCGTTTCACCATGGTTCACACTTGACCTTGAAACTTGAAAAAAAACGGTTGTCGTAGATTAATTATTCATATTATGACATTCAATTTTTTTGACAAATTATGAATGACTTCTGGTTTAAGAACCGACGAACGTTTTTGACGTCATTGATTTCTTTCAGTCAATTTCTATTTGTTAAAAAAAAGGCAAATTATTTCAAAAGTATCAACCCTGGTGAAACAAAGTTTACATAACTATTATTTATTCTAGCACATGCAGCCCTTTCCTCTCTTTGAATTCTTCTAATGTCTCTGGTATTTTCGTAAACTCCATAATGAAAATCACTGTACTCTTATTCATTTAACAAATATTATATAATGAATAAATGAAAAAGAAATGTTTGACATGTTGCACAGCTGTCAATCTAATTTTTTTCAAGGCATTCTTTGATGAAATTTATTTATATTCCATATCACTGATGCCAACCTGAATTTGTGAAATTACAATAATATGTATGTACGTAATTATTTTAATTATTGTTCACAATTAAATAATTTTAAGTGTTCATTCAAAATTATTTTGTTAATTTTGTTCTAAATAATAAATATTAAAAGATTTTTTAAGTAAATTTTAATACTTATATGTTTCCACAATTTTTTGTTAAACTTTTAACATGTTTCGCTAAACTTTAGCTTCATCAGAAAGATTTTAGAAAATTATTTATTATTTTATTATTATTAAAAATTTTCTAAAATCTTTCTGATGAAGCTAAAGTTTAGCGAAACATGTTAAAAGTTTAACAAAAAATTGTGGAAATATATAAGTATTAAAATTTACTTAAAATAGTATATTATATACCTAGGTTGAGAAGTTGGTCATTATATACCTAGCGCTTTTATAAACCGAGGCGCAAAGCGCCGAGGTTTATAATGCGTGAGCAAAGAATATTATAGTTAACACTTATAGAAAACCTATTCCATGTATATTTTTTGACCCCCAAATGGAGCCAGACTTTTCGAGCCGGGCTCCATCGGAGTGGTAGGCTCGCCGTAATCAACGTGGTTCCAGTTGATGGCTACTCGGCGTTGCCATATGTCCATATAAATATGTATAATAATAACTTTAAAACGGTGACCGCGCTGATGTGAAAAAACACGATATGCGGGAAAAAAATGGAAGGTTTTGTCTTGAAAATATCGCTGAAAAATTGCTAGACGATAATAGCAGTTCGAACTCGAGTTTCTCACAGAAATATCAAAGTTTTTCAATTTTTTTCTGGAAAACTGACTAAGTAAAAATTGTGCAATTTTTTCAGGTGAAAGACGAAAGTGAGGAGCTTATTAAAGGAAAATTTCAAATTTTTCCAATGGAAAATCATCCCAGGAAACATTCTGGAAAATTGACTTTTTTAAGCAGAATTCATTTTCTTAAATTACATTTATTTCCTAGAAAACTGGCAAAAGGAAAATTGTGAATTTTTTTCAGAAAAAAGAGGAAAGTGAGGATCTTATTATAGCAAAATTTCAAAATTTTCCTGTGAAAAAACACTCCAGGACAAATTTAGGAAAACTGACTTTTTTAAGCGAAATTCATTCTTTTATATTACAATTATTTTCTGGAAAATTGGCAGAGTGAAAACTGTGATATTTTTGCAGGAGAAAGACGAAAATGAGGAGCTTATTATAGTAAAATTTCAAAATTTTCCAGTGGAAAATCATTTCAGGAAAAATTCTGGAAAATTGCCTTTTTTAAGTAACATTCATTTTCTTTCTTTTTAGTTTTTTTCTAGAAAACTGGCAAAAGGAAAATTGTGAAATTTTTTAAGAAAAAAGAGGAAAGTGAGGATCTCATTATAACAAAATTTCAAAATTTTCCAGTCAAAAAACACTCCAGAACAAATTTAGGAAAACTGACTTTTTTAAGTGAAATTCATTCTTTTATATTACAATTATTTTCTGGAAAATTGGCAGAGTGGAAATTGTGATATTTTTGCAGGAGAAAGACGAAAATGAGGAGCTTATTATAGGAAAATTTCAAAATTTTCCAGTGGAAAATCATTTCAGGAAAAATACTGGAAAATTGACTTTTTTAAGTAAAATTCATTTTCCTTCTTTTTAGTTTTTTTCGAGAAAACTGGCAAAAGGAAAATTGTGAAAATTTTCCAGAAAAAAGAGGAAAGCGAGTTCATTAAAGTAAATTTTTAAAATTTTCTAATGAAAAGTCAGTCGAGGAAAAATTCTGGAAAATTGACTTATTTAAGCAAAGTTAA